GACTGGCAGTCAATGAAAGGCACACGTACAATAGAGAGCGTTTATCAAGTATACATTGGGCAGCCGCAAGCCAGCAACCATGCACCGTCGCCCGTGCTTTCCATCTGTCATTTTTGCCCTGCGGTACAACTGCTTCGTGATCCGGCTGTCTTAACTCATCCGAACTTACCTATTTGGCGTGACTATGAGGATCGGCACTTCCTCATCATATGTCTGAGTGCTTTCTTCTACTGAGATATTCAGAACGATTCACACTCCTAGTCTGAACACTATCAAGTTGTGATCTTAGGAGCTGGACGAGTACAAACCTTTATTTTCGTGATGTATAGAGCACAACATAAGATAAGGTTCCATTAATGTTACACCACACTTAGTCACGCCAATCAATACGGTGTGAATCTTCACCTGCCATAAAACAATAAACCTTCAAAGTATTGCATTTCAACGGAGGAGACTTATCAAAATGTTAATGATATAAGGCAAGAATGGCTTATCAAAGATGCCGATCTGAAAAAGGTGTCCAAACATAACTTTGGAGAAAAGAAGTGAAAATCTATCGAGGAAATACCTAACGTTGTTTAACACTTGTTTAAGAGAACCTCTTAGAATTCTTTCATGGAAGTATGTGTTCTGATCACGATTGCTACAAGTATAACGGTAACCGAAATACGAGGTGGCGATCCATATGCTGACCTTCTGATAAACATAAAATTTTAATTCAATCAATCCACCTGCTCCAGAGAAACTAACAGTTCGACTCAAAAATAATCATAAAACTTTTCGGCAACCATTACTATTTGATTGGAATAACAATATTCTTTGCGAATATTTTTTGTTTGGCCAACCAAGAACACGAAATTCAAACGCCAAACGATCCAACAAATCATGATCGCTGTTTCTTTACAAGAAAGTCTTCGCTGCCAAATCATTTGAACAAGATACTAACGGGTATTTACCCTTATCATCTCCGCTACATCAGCATCTTCTAGTTGGGTGCAGTGCTGAGGACTCGCTGAAGACAGATTGATGGAACTGGAGGATTCATTAGTTAAGATATTATCTCCAGTGGTCTGCCACGACTGCTCGGGTCGTGACACCTCACCACAACTACAACTCATCATCTCAGGCCACAACGATTGGCATTTCTCTAGTATGGAATATTCCAGTTATCATAACAACAAACTTTATATCATAATTTTGATGCTAGGAACCGGCTTCTTCATTTAAGATGTACTCTATAGATGTAAGTCATTAAAAGACTTCACGGGTAGATAATTACAGAACACCGTACTTATGCACCACTTTACAAACGTAAAGTTAGGTACAATTTAAAGAAACGACAGGGTTTGAAGAATTTCTTTTAATTGTAAGTGTATAGACGGAATTATAAACAAGGGTACACCAAACTTTAGTTCTCGACCTCATCGACAAACTATAACATAATCCAATTCTTAATCTTCGAGATTATAAAAAAAATAATTACCCAACCAAGGACAAACCTAATAACTACCTACAACTCTAAAAATAATAAAACAAAGTAAATCTTCCGAGATAAAAACTAATTAAATAAAGAATACTCAACGAATTACTAGACACTGAAACAACAGCAACTTCATACACGATTCTAAATGGTTATCTGACTCATCAAACATAGACCATCAGCAATACCAAAACCAAATGAGATAAGGAATACTCAGCAACCTTATAGATGTTAAGCCCCTGCAACTTCAACATCCAACAGGTTTGATACAGTACGACGCATTCTTCAACGATTGCGCTTCAATTACAAACCACAACTGTAGGAGAAGATGCACCAAAGATGTTGAACAATCTACCACTCAAGTCTCTGTCCCTGTCGGTTAGATTCAGCTATCTAAAACTAGCTGTCTCCATGACTCAAATTCGCCTCTCTCAAGTATTTGCTCTCGAAATGTTTACACTCACAGCCACTAGCTTTTAGGGGGTCTGACTATTTCATTCAATGTTTTAACTGGCTTACTGCGAATGTTTTTATAAATACACACTGTTCCATTAGAGAGACTATCAGTAAAACCTACTGTACAGAATACTTGCGTCTTCAGGCTAAGTTTAGCATTTCTCTAATATAAAGGGTTACTATAACATATTGTAGTTGCTCATTGTAACGCTGAGGGTCAACCCTTCCGTTATAGTTAAACTAAGTTATATGATGGTATAATTCATCACTAGAGAATCGCAAAAGAAATATCGTTTTCAAGACTACTTTCAGTTAACGAACTAAGACAAGTCGAGATTGGAAAATGAATGAGGGTTGAAAATACAGTAACATCCCGTGCGATTAACTGCTACTATAGACATTTATTTTTTTAATAATTTTTTTATAAAAGTAGAGTGAAAATTGTGGAAATGTTTACTCCTGTATAATTCAAATGAAAAAAAATATTAACCATATCGATAAAAGATATGTAATGATTTATATTATATTATTGTTAAGTATGAGATTATTAAGGTAACACAGTACTCAAATATAAAATTTAAAAATTTTTTTTTTTATTATTTAGTTTTGTAGAACAGACTTTTCTGAACACGTAGATAATAAAAATTAAGGAAGAACATTTTTTTAATTTTCAACTACTTTTATAAACTATTGCAGCCTAATTTAGCATGTCCAAGGTCCTACTACTAATCAAGATGCAGAGGGTACGCCGTCAAATATTATTTTTTTTTATTATTTAGTTTTGTAGAACACACTTTCCTGAACACGTACATACCAAATATTATGGAAGAAAAAATTATTTTAAGCTATACAGTGACTTTTATACACTCTTACTTTAGCATGCCCAAGGGTCCTACTACTACCCGTGACAGGGAGTACTTTTGTCGTTTTCAGAAAGTCAAGTGGTTTTTAGTCAGGTACACTTTTCTTCCTCAATTATAATCCAATTTCAATAAAAATTGGTGTGTGTGTTCCTCATATGATAAGGAACAATAATAGGCCTACGAACCAGTTTCCATGACAACCAAAAACCTTTGAAATAAAAAATATTTTATGTTAAAAAATTACAAAATATTTTATAAAACTTTTAAACCCATACCAAACAATTTAATTTTGTTCAAAAACTTTTTTTGCTTCATATTATTGTTGTTAATAATGTGTTAAACTTAGTACAAAAATTTCAAGTTGATAGGTTAATATTTGTAAAAGTTATGTGTACCTAAAAACTGCAATTTTAACATGGACGGGATAGGGAGTACTGTGTCACCTTGATTAATTCATTGATGTAAATGATTGAGGATGAACACAAACAACAGAAAATCCTTAATGTGACTATTTATTGATTGTATTAACTTTATATGGTTTTTATTGTAAATGGCATTGTCGTGGAGTAAAAAATAAATATATTTAAATCATATTCGCATTTATTTCACCTTATTGCATTTATTGCTTGCTGTGTTGATATTGTTACGATGACATCCAAGTAATTTAAGTAGTAAACCATGTTTGATTTTTTGACCATGGCAAAGACAAACATTGCAAGAGCTACACTGAACAAATAGAACCTGAGGTATGAATGGAAATGAAAGTAAGCGAAGGTGAATGGCTTGTCAATTAATCTCTGTATTTACCAAACCACGGACGACCACAAGCTCAGTCTCTGGCGTACCGCAACATACCAACATCGTCATCACGGATACAAGTTAGATTAACAAGAGTGACAGAAAATGCCAATATTTTATGACGATAAGTAAGAATTTCTTGGACAACAATAAGGGATTTCGTCGGTAGGATTTTCTAATAAAATAGACAAAACTTGTGTTTTTATCAAAAGAGGTATTGCAGGTCAAAGGTAGATTGCAATGTTATTGTAGTGGAACATACAGGGTGAATAAAAAGGCAAGACTATCATGTAGTATTTTTCTACTTAAATATACAGAGATGTCCTTTTGGTGGTCGTGCAAACTTAGCAGGAAGTTTCTTTTTCTGATTTTGAAATTTTGAGTATCCCCCAAAAATAGGAGGTTTTGGGGGCAACTCAAAATATTTAAATGAACACCCCCTTCAAGTGACATCTAATTTTGAAGGGTTTACAAAAACTTAAGGAATGGTGAAAACCAGAGCAGGCTCTTTCCTCTATCCAAAATAGTAGCCATTATTACCATTACATTGATTATTTCTTATATTTTTAAAGTATAGACTTCAATAGATTTGACGGGCTGCCATTTTGGATAGAGGAAAGATAGCGTGTTGTGGTTTTCACCATTCTTATTTTTTTTTAACACTTCAAAATGATTTGTCACTTGAAGAGGGTTTACATCTACCCCAAAAATCCACCATTTTTGGGGGCCACTCAAAATTTTCAAAATCACAAAATGAATCTTTGTGCTAAGTTCCCACGACCACCAAAAGGATATCTCTGTATATTTAATTAGAAAAATATTAAATGGGGGTCTTGACTTTTTATTCCCCTTTTATAATGTAACTTGATAGTACATACAGAGGTATTTACATTTTGATGCAGTAAAATTGTATCAATCTGGACTTCAGCGCAACATCAGTGGAACAATTAAAATCTGAATAATTTCCAGATAACATCCTAGACTCTAGGTAATTCTTGTCTAATGGAGAAAAGGAACTACTTTTGGCCCGGAACTTAAAGTACTGAAAACAGCAGTTTTCATTGCAGTAAAGGGGAAATTATTTTCAAACCTGTAAAGTATTATCGGTAATCCAATATGGTAGCGGTGGCAATCGGATCATATTTATCGCTTCGTAGGAAAGCCGTAATATTGTCAAATAACTAAGTACACACGTAATATAAAATCATGCTATAAAGTAGCCAGTGCAACCACGGTTTGAGGTAAATCACTTTGTGAGAGTGTTTGTCCTCAATATTCGGTCTACCGCAATCTAGTTGTACACTCGTGGTCCAGTGGTATGGTGTTGTGATGTAACAAGAAGGACTGTGGTGCTAAGGTGAAGGTGAGGTAACCCGGCTATAGTCGCTAGTCGCCAGTCGTCAGTCGTCAGTGGCAGCAGTGAGAGTGTAGCTCTGTAGTCTGTAGTGTGGCTGTAGGTGTGCGCAGGACGAGTGTACAGTGAGTTACTACGCATGCGCCGCTGTGTCTCAGCCGGGTAAATACTTTCATCTATGTTTATTGTACATGCACAATACAGATTAAACATTTATGTTTTAATTCGAATCTTTGACATTTGGGTTAAGGGTAAACGAGTCACAAAACATTAAGGAACTATTTCCCCAATTCGCCAAATACTCATCCGAAAAACTACGTTTTTAAAGATTTCAATAATTGTAAATTGAGATTTAAAAATATTGAATGACTGGAAATTAGATGGATCTTACTAGGTTTTTATGTTGGGGTTATATTACAATAATAAGTTCTATGAAAAACATAAACATTAATAAATGACGTAGGTTAGTTTATGAATAAATTAAAATGTATTTATTAATGAACAAAAAAATATTGTTGGTTTAAGAATTAAGACAAAAATAATGATAGTATAATCGTAATTTAAAGCCCTACCTGTACATATTCTCCCAATAAAGTACATATAACATTTTACATAGAAATCAAACATATCAATTATATATTTATTAAATATTATAATGACATACCAAGACAACAAATAATTGAAACAAAAGTAATGGATGACGAGAAAATACTTAGAAGGGATCTTTGCAAGTAAAACTATAATTTACAAATTTAATAGAACATTTAAACGTTGTGAGACGATAGTTCGATTAAATAAAATATAATTGTATAAGGGTTTAAAATCAAATTCCATTCCGATAAGCTTGATCTCAATAATCGCGGAACATGATTTAATCAAGCGCTTAGTTTTACCATATCAATCGCAATAGCATTGAGGATAACAATCCGTTACGAAATGTGCAAAAGTATCTTACAAATCAAATCAAATATAATAATCCAGGTATCAAATTTGACGTGACATTGAAGTTAATAAACAACATAATTGGATTTGTTAAAGTATATTGTTACTCTTATCGCAATTCAAGATCACTGAAAATCAATGTGTAAAAGAAAAAAAAACAGTTTTAATCGTTTATTAGGTTTAGTATTTCCGTTGGTTTTAGTCGTTATGTTTTAATTGTCTTTGGCAAATTACAATAAAGACACCCTGTAGAGTTCCACAATTTATATAATTCTCAATTAAATTTCCACACGTAAATGGCTTCTGGATATAAAACAATTGACCAGTAGGCCAACAAATTACCATCCCCTGGATCCATATTCGTTTTTGAATGCGGTGGTGTAAAAATTAATTGCATTTGGCAATAATAAGTTGAAAATTTCCTACTCAGTTCCCTCCAAACGGTCCATAATCGTGTAGGTAAATTAAGGGCAGTAGCAGGGGTTGACACAATTTGCGGTTGCCAGGCAACTGTTAATCCGATGTTATTTGATATAGGTACTTCACATTATTTTGTCATAGTTCTAATTATTCTAATACATCTTTTGCCTAAAGTAAACGGTTACGGTATTATTACAATCTATGAATGACAAACCAATATTTTTGATTTATATTTTTCAATGTAGTGGAGCTTTTGTTCGAAACGCATAATTTCGCATTGAAATATTATATATTTCACTTAATTTAAATTTATTTGGGTGGACGAGTCAGATTAAAAATAAACTAGCCGTAATAGAATATTTATATTGAATTGAGCTAGTCTGTAACTGTTAATAAACTCATGTAAAAGCCGGGTACTTAAATGGCCTAAGTGGCCAATGGTCTTTTACAGCATTATGGTTACCTTTGAATTGGCCTATTGTATCCACTAATATCAATAGGTCAAATTTTTAATTCGTATTTCTTCGATGTATTTGTTTCTGTATTAACTTTATGTCGTCATATTTGCACTAAGGGTTGGGTATAATATAAGATCGGAATGAGATAAGTTTTGTCATTTGACCATCCAAAATTCCTCACATAAATATTGTTGACATTTGTTCATTGTGGAATATATTTCCACGATGAATGTACATGGCCATAACGATATAGTTTCAAATAGCCGCACTTAGGATACACCTTCCAGGTGTCCAGTTTCATAACCTTCGAAAGGCTTTCAAGAGAGTTGATAATCAACAGAAAACATTAAAACAAACACTTAATCCTTGCAACAGCGATAATAAATTGCCAATGGATCATCGATTTACCAACTGTACACAATATTTAAGTTATACAGGGTCATCAGTGTTACAAAACTTTTTTGGTGTAAGTACAAAGTAAGTGAAGTGTGATGCATAAGAGGTTTCGAGTCTAAAAACTAGCTTCCCAAAAAATTATTTTTAGTTTTTCAAAAATAACCATTTTTTAAACAAAATACAGAAATTTCTTAATTACCTGTAAATGGATTTGAGTAGATGATGTCAATTTTGGTGTCTTACATTAAATTTTGAATAAGAATAATATAAAATGATGGAGGATCAATAGTACAAACTCCATTGTTAATAGCTCCAAAGATTTAAATTAAAATCTATGATAAAAATTTAAAATTCATTGCTCTATTGAATTTGTCTACACCCTGTATACAAGAAGGTAGCAAAATATATAAGAAACTGCGCCATGTTATAAGCTTACCAACCATATGCCACATCACCGATGTTTAGATTATTATTGTTTTGATAATAATAATGTTTTGAGTCGTTTGAATACTAGAAAACAGAGAACTTTTTTCACAGTTTTTACTGTTGTGAAAATACAAGTTTTGCTGAATACATGCCGACTATTGTTTACAAATGTAAAAAAAAAACACCATGTTTTAGATTCTTCAAACCATCAAAGCGAACATAAGCAGATATAAAGCTCAATAGTTTAGTATATGGTTGGGAAGCTTATAAAATGGTACAGTTTTCAACATATTTTGCTACATTTTTGTTTACAGGGTGTAGAAAAATGCAATAGAGCAATGTTTTTATTTTTTATTTAATCATAGACCTAATCTTTGGTTGGTCTTCCATCATTTTATATTATTCTTATTCACAATTTAATGTAGAACTCGAAAATGACATCATCTACTCAAATCAATATACTGTACAGGTAATTGAGAAATTGATTATGCTTAAAACATGGTAATTTTTTTTTAAACTAAAAAAAATTGTTTGGGATGCATTTTTTTTTAACCTCTTATATGCATCATCACACTTCATCTACTTTGTACTTGTACCAAGATAATTTTGTAACACCGATGACCAGACACCCTGTACATAAATATTACTTTGCCGGCATTCTAATGTGGTAATCTTTATTTACAATAACATTAAGGATAAAATTATCGAATATTTAAAGGAACATAGCCTTAACGGTTGGTCTTAAAAACCCTTATTGACTGTCTTGGGGAATCGTCTCAAAAAGTATACTATTTTAGCTGCCCATATATTTTTAAAGGGTATATTAATATAATCCTGTTCGAGGAAAGCTATTTTTGAGAAGTTTAAAGCTGCATCTCTTCACCCTAAGTTCACACCTAGATATTTAGTTACAGGGAGGAAGTGTATACCAAATAGACTCTAGCCGGAAGTTTTATCTTAAGAATGATAAGAGTTAATGCACCAGGAAGACTAGGTCTATCTGAAGTACCCTGTAGGCTTCAATGATGCAATCTAAGTGCGAACCGATGTCTCGCCATTCCTCAATGATACCGTTCGAGAGCACCACGAATCGTGACAGTCCATCTTTGAATACCTCCGTGAAGAAAGGCATCAAAAACTGCCATAGCGATGTTGACAGATAACGAGAAATGAGTTCGCAGCAGGATTTGAACTTTGGTCCTCCGTGTCAGAGTTGAGCGTAACAACCTCCTCTGCCAAAAGTGAAGAGGTTAAACATGAGCTTATAGGAGGTTATTACACAATCTACAGGCCATACTTAAAGTCTTGAGGGATATTTTTATGCAACTGGTTTTGGCATTTCAAACAGATGACCTCTTACAAAACGAATTTCTCTTTAACCCCGCCTGGCCTTTCACCTATTAGGATCCTACACTTCTCGTTCGGTCTTCCATTGTTTGGATCACTGTCAGATTTGGACTCTAGAGTTTGGACAAACCTATGCTTTGAGAATACGGGCAAAAGTAGTATGTAATTTCTTAAAAAAATTTTTGCAACGTTGGGAGGTTAACGCGACAAGGTTTCTGTTTAATGTATCTTTTATTTGATTGGTGATTATATCGTTTGTCCGATTCATTATAAGTATTGCAGTTGTTCTACAAAATACTTTAGATGCCACGACTATTATAGATTAGTTATCAAAAAGGAAAAAAACAAATTCAGCTTCAGAGTGTTGTCGGATGAGCATTTCGAAGTTTTAAAAAATTAATTTAATGGTCAAGGTTAACATGCATGCGTAATTAAAACTTTGGAATAGTTTGAAGTGATTTGTTCGGATATTAATTTGCATTGCATAAGAGAAATGAAAAATAACGAGGATCTGTCATAGAAAAGTGCAGAAACTTTTAAAAGCTATATACGCTATGAAGAATCCAGGTTAGAAAGGATAATCAACCGATTCAAAGGGACAGTCATATATTATCCGATTTAGTTCAGAAGAAGGCACGCACGTCAAGCACTATACAACCTAAAGGTGATTCTAGCAAACATAAGTTTTAAAGTTAACTGGTTTCGTAATGTATTAATCTGTAAAAGGAGATTTCAAGAGTAATTTTGTTGTCATGCTTCGAACAATTAGTATTTATAGAATTACACCGACCGAGGCAATTTTGGCATGAGCATTGGATCTCTATTTTATTCTAAAAACGTGGGTCAGAATTTAATCCTCCGGTGGTTAGGGGCGTGTATATAAAGTGATATCCCACTGTACGCAGAGAACAATTCAAGCAGATTAGGCCTACTTGGAGAAGATTCACTTTCTATTTAGGGAACAGTATATAATTAATTTTAATTGTAATACATTTTTATAAGCTACACAATCAAAACAAAGAGAATGTGACTATAGCCAGATGTGTACAGTTAGGCCACATACATGCAGCGCGGTGCGCATACAACACAATAACAGGTAAAAGCACAGCCAATCTTCCCTTTGTGCCGTTGTCACAGCGACTACAGTATTGTCTTCCACTTAGAGGGCCATTC